AGAGCCTGGTGGAATCCTTGAGACTACGGCCCCTAGCTGTCCCTCAGCTCTGGAACTGAACCCACTCCTGTGGCTTCCAACCAAACAAAAGACAGGTATATGAGTTGAACATTACATAGACAGATACACTCCTTGGGGAGATCAATCATGGGAGAATAGAAAGGCTATGTACACACAGGGAGACAGCTCAGGGGGCAGGAGTACAAGGGAAGGAAGGACATAGAGAAGAGGTAACTATGGGGAGGAAGTGGGAAGAGAGCTGCTGCACTGCGGGAGACTGCAGTTCACGTCATAAGACAAAGTATATGTGAACTGCTGTATGGAAAATGAATTTGCTCTGTATACTTGCAACCAAATCACAATAAAAATTAAAACAACAACAACAAACAAACAAAACCACATGTCTGGGAGCCACTCCTAGAGATTTTAGATTTATTCTGCTGATTGATGTTGGGACAAAGCAAACTAGTTCTAGACATTTGGAGACTATACCTATCTACAACCACAGCAACCAAAGTCTCCTTCTTTCAGAAGCAAAAGAGAAGGTCAGAGTGGTTCTAGAAAAGGGTTACAAAGCTCTTCTCTGTTCACCTCTCAGGACTGGGCCTCTTCCCGTTTCCATGCACCTCCATGAGCAGCTCTGAAGAGTCAGCAGGCGACGCGATACTTGTGTTGAGCAGAAGGTGTTCGTGCTGAGCCAGGTACTGGGATGGGGTTTGCTTGGCAGCGCGAGCACAGTGCAGAAGTTCTCGCTGCAGCAGGGGCAGGTTGGCCTTGAAGAGAAGAGGCAGGGGCTGGAAGGCAGTCTGCCTGGTCACAGGGCTCTATCCTACAATTGTCAGGGCTCAGCACCTCAAAAGGCTTTCACCAACCAGATGACGCAACCAAAACCTTCTCTCCTTGTCAGTCTGATTTTCCTATGACTTTTCTGTAATTAAAGTAACATCTATTCCACTGCACTTGAGTTATTATTTGCTAACTTGTCTCTTGCCCCCAGAAGATATAAATTCCCTTAAGGAAGGGACTATGCCTTTTTGACCTTTGTGGCTTCATACAGAGTCAAAAGTTGATAAATGGTGAACATAATTTTTAAATTTATACACTTTTGAAGACTTTGGTCAGTTAGAGAATTATTATTGCATACACTGGAGTGAAAGAGCTCTGGTAAACTAGTGGTTAAGGAACTTAGCCAATAACCAAATGGTTGGTAGTTCTAATCCACCAGCCACTCCACGGGAGAAAGATAAGCAGTTTGCTTCTGTGAAGATTTACAGCCTTGGAAACCCTATGGGGCTGTTCTACTCTGTCCTATGGAGTTGCTATGAGTAGGAATCAACCTGATAGCAGTGAATTTTTTTAATGGGTTTTCATGGGAGTAGGAGGAATACACTCTTGGCTCCTCTATGGGTTACTAGCTCTGGTTTCTCTCTTCTGGATCCACACCTGTCTCTGATAGTACTACTCAAACACCCTTCCTTTCATGGCCTCCATGAGAGCTGCCATGAAATTCCAGAATAAGTGATTATTCTGGTCTGATTCCGATCATGGAGTTTTCGGAAAGGAGCAGTGGGAGTGATGGAAAGGAAGGCAACAAGCCTTAGGCCAAGCTCTGAGAGTGCGCAGGTGACCCATGGCCAGCACTGCTTCTCAGTGTGGCCCTCTAGATGGGCACTTTTCCTTATTTTGTAAAAGGAAAAAACCTAATGGGGATAAATCATAAATATAAAAAACTGTGTATCTTTAAAACTTCAGAATTTTAATTTCTCTAACTATAAAATCTACTTTCCCCATATTTCTTCTATTAAAAAAAATAAACCAACCATAAAATAAGAAACGCATTTCCCCCAAAATTTAAAAACAATTCAGGGTGAGCCAATAATAGAAGCCTTTATCCCAAGGGAAACAGATGAGCAAGTGAAAGAGAGGAGAAGTTTCTTTTTTTTTTTTGAGTAAACCAAAAAAACACAAGCTCACTGCCATCAAGTTGATTTGATTCATAGCGACTCGTCCTTGGGTTTCCAAGGTGATATCACTGCAGAAGTAGATTGCCAAATCTTCCTTCCTAGGAGTGGCTGGTAGGTTTGAACTGCCAGCCTTCTGGTTAGCAATCAAATGCCTTAGACACTAAGCTATCAGGAGAGTTTTATTACATATAAGTAGTCATCCCTTCACCAAGGGTTAATTTAGCAGGCATCATTACTAGTGACTGTTTTAAAGCAGTGATAAATTGACAAAAACTATATGCTAGCCAAAAAGCTGCCATAACAACCTACCTCATGCTGTTTTCAAAATAACAGAGATAAGAATAGGGGATTTCACTGTATGTAAAATACTTTTTCAAAGACTGTAGTCTATTCCATAACCTCAATCTTGTTCCAAGTGTAGGAATTTAATTGGAAAAAAAAACATGTTAGACCTTTATATTTGTGACACATGCCCTTTGATGACTAAAGAAACATACAAATTACTTCCTATTAACCCAACTTTCACAATCTTTCTTGATTCTGGAGTCTGGGGTAAATAATTGTCTACAGGCTCTGAAACACAGGAAGACCAATATAGAACTGGCACAGCTGTTTCAGGGCTAAAAAAGGCACCACAGCCTGTCCTGAGATGCTGCAGCTTCAATGCTGTTACAACAGAGCCACAGGGCAAGCTGTGCACCTGAGATTGGTACACTTTCCTGTGTGTGTGTGTGTGTGTGTAATGCTCTAAGTTCAAAAACAGTTTTGAAAAACTGTTATCTGTGCTTCCCACTTTTTGATGCTATTACATTTTCTTTTGCTATAAAGACATTAGACAATTAATAAAACCTGAATGAAGTCTATAGATAAAAAGAAATAGTTATTACATCAATGTTGATTTCCAAATTTGACAACTTTACTAAAGTATTTAGCTGTATCAAGTCTGTGGCTTAATCTCAAATGTTTCTACGTAAAAAAAAAATGTATGTATAGAAAGAGAATGATGATACAAATGCAGTAAAGCATTAACATCTGGATAAAGGGTATAAAGGTATTTTATTATACTCTTGCAACATTTCTGTGAACATGAAATTATTTCAAAATAAAACTTAACCAAAAAACAAAGGCATATTCAGTATAAATAGAACAGTATCATTTATCAAGTAAGCAATGTCCCTAAAAGTTACACTTAATCCCAAAGGACTTTTTAGAAAACCAAACTAGCTGGAGATTGGGAAGCCACAAACATTGCTTCCCCACAACCTCTCCTGACCTTAGAGCAAGTCCAACCTGTAAAAGCCTTGCCTTTGCTCGCCTCCTCTCAGCAAACACTTTCAGCTCAAGCCAAACCATCTCCTCTGCTAAGAGCCAAGTTCCCACCCTGAACCACCCCTCCAGCCCACTCACCTCCTACTTCCTCCCTCCAAGTGTTACCAGTGGTGTCTGTACACAGCCCACAACTCAAAGCTGAAGATTACACTCGGATCTCTTACCAGTCCAAATAAAGGTATGAAACTGTAGCTCTTCATACTATCTTACAACACAAAACAGGGATCAGTGGCAGATCCTAGAGAAAACTACATTCAGCAGTCATCTCATAGAATTACCTTGAGGAATGGAATCACAAAAGGACGAAGAGGAAAGTTTGTGGCCTCTTGGAGCTTGCAATGGAATTCTTCAATTGTCACTGTGGAGTTCTGAAAATGATAAATAACATCATTCAACATTATTCAACTTACAAAACTGGACACTGTCCCCTAACATAAATCTGATGGTGCTACACCTTTTGAACTCACAAGGAAAAGGATAACTCCAAGAACAGATTTCTCTCAAAGATTAACCAAATACTCTTTCCTTTATTAGAATGATGGAAATTTGACTTCCTTGATTATCTTCTCTGCCACCTCATATCTAAACTTTCATCTATGCCCCACAGCCTAGGCTGCAGAGGTATGTCTTTCCTTACTACCCAACAAAGAGAGGAACTCAGATCCCTGGTTTTGAGGTATTCATTCCACATCACTTCAGGGACAGGGAATCAAGCTTACAAAGTTTCCTGCTGAACAAATCCAACTCCATCCAGGATGTCAATTTGAAGACTTTTTTTTTTTTTTTTTTTGCTCAACCTCAGTTACCAAAAATTAATCTCTTTACAGGTTCTGTCTACCTTCTAACATCAGTTTCCCAAATCTTCAAAACAGGAAGTTAATACAAAAGGAACAGATGCCTTCTAGCTTCAAGTGGGCTGTGTGCTTATTAAAATAACTCCACACTTTCAATTGGTCTCTGTCTCTGTTTTTAAGATTTTTACTTTGTGTTTACTTTGAATATCATGTGTCTTGGTATGAATTTTGCTTAGGATCTATTCTGCTTAAGGTTCGTTTAGCTTCTTGAAACTGTAGGTTTAGATCTTTTGTCAAATTCTGGAAAATTTTATTCACTATTTCATTGCATAGTTTCTCGAGGCCACCTTATTCTGCCTCTCTTACTGATCTTTTGTTACAGACCTTCAAGTTCCTCAGGCTGTGTTCATTTTTCAGTCTACTTCCTCTATGTTGTGCTGACTGGGTAATTGCTAACTTCAAGTTCACTGATTCTTTCCTCTATTCTCTCCATTCTGCTGTTAAGTCCATCACTGAGTTTTTTCATTCCATTTTATTTTTCAGCTCTAAAATTTCCATTTGGTTCTTCTTTATTGCTTCTTATTATTTACTGAGCCTTTGTTATTTTTTTTTCATTTATGTTTATAACTGTTTATCAAAGCATGTTTATGGTGGCTGTTTTAAAATCCTTGTTAGATATTTCCTACATCTGTGTCTTCTCAAGCACAGATTTTCCTGGTTCTTGGTATGACAAGTGATTTTCCATTGTATTCTGAACACTTTGGATTCTGTGCTCTAAGACTCTGAATCGTATCTCAATCTTGTTTAAGGAAGTCTCCTTGGACACTGTGCCAGTGGAGGAAGAGCAGCTGGAGGGGCGAATGCCTCTGATGCTGTCAGATGGGGATATAAGTCCAGATTCCCCACTCGGCCTCTGATAGTCAACCCCTGCCACTAGAAGGGGGAAGAGGGCCTCGTTACTGCTCCACAATTAGCTTCCACTGACACAGTTCCCCAGGAGGGTGGGGGAAAGGAAGAGAGGGAGGTAGCTGGGAAAGGGTAAAGTCTAGGATTCCCACTGGGCCTTTGCTGGCAGGTGGAGGGTGAGGCAACAGTTGTGCTCAAAGGCCGTGGGTTGATTATTGTCTACAAGTATCTGCCTGGGCTGTCTGTACTTTTCTGACCCTATGGCTGGAAAGGAGGCTTTAAAAAAAAAAAAAATCTGTGCCCATTGGTGCTTCCAGCTCCTAGTCTGGAATGTGAGGAAAAAAGAACACTTAAGGAAGTCACTATTATGGAGTTCCTCAGGTTCCAAGTTCTTTCCTCTCTTATTAGCCAATCTGCTTTCCTCGCCCACCTTTCAGAGCCTTAGTTTGTTTTAGATGTGTCTGCGTTTTTTTGCTGTATTTTAGCAGGAGGAACAGGGGGACGTGGGTCTACTTAAATCATCGTATTTGATTTTTAATAACTACACATCGTATTTCATTAAACAGATACTGCAATTTACTCAGTCTTTTATAGAACATGCTAAGGAGATCTGGTGGTGTAGTGATTAAGGCATTTGGCGGCTAACCAAAAGGTTGGCAGTTTGAACCACCAGCTGCTTCACAGGAGAAAGATGAGGCAGTCTGCTTCTGTAAAGATTTATAGCCTTGGAAACCCTATGAGCAGTCCTACTCTGCCCTATAGGGTCTCTATGAATCAGAACTGACTTAATGGCAGTGGGTTTTATAGAACATTCAGCGGGCTTCAGTTTTTTTTTCTTTTTGTTTTTCGGGGAGGTACTATAAATAATGTCAAACTGATTATCTTGGTCCATACTTTTTATTATTTCCTTAGAATAAATTCCTGGTAGTGAATCTGGTGAGTCAAAGAGACTACCTAGTATAAGGTACTTGAAACACTGCCAAATTACCCTCCAGAACGTCCATTCCTCTAAGTAAGTGGAGTCAAAAATCATTTACCTTGAAAAGGAAATTGAACATGCTTGCTTTCCAGTGTAAGTAGGGACTACTTGCACTTTACCTCTTGTATGTCAGAAGCACAGAATGTGGTTATCTGACATAAACTCCACTTTCTTACCTGTGTTTTAAACTCCACTTTCTTACCTGTGTTTTTGAATTAGCTAATGAAAGTTTCCATCCCCTGGAAAAACTGTTCCATTTATAAATGCCTGACAAAATCTTGACCATTCTTTACAGAAAAAATGGAAAGGATTTCTTGACAAAAAAACTTTAAAACAATAAAAATATTAATTCTTCTCCTATTAGATAAAATTTTCAACAAGATGGTAGTAAAACAATAACAAGACAGAGTGGCAAGCTTAAATTCAACACATGTAAGACAAGCATTTGATCAATAATAAAGCCAGTTTATTTACCACTCTCCAATTCTTTTTTTTTTTTTTTATTTCCTAGGCTAGAACTTGCAGGATATTACAATGAATGGAAGACAAGATAGTGGACGTCTAGATGTGTTGCTCCTAATCTCAGATGGAAAGCATTCAAATTTCACCATTAAGCATGAGACTGGCTGTAGGTTTTTTTTTTGTTTGTTTGTTTTTTGGGGGGTATCCTTTATAAAATTTAAGAAGGTTTTCTACCAGCATTAGTTCGCTAAGTTCTTTCTTTCTTTTTAAAATAGTAAATAGGTATTAAACTTAACAAACATTTTTTCCCCTGTATCTTCCCCAAATCTACTACTAGTTTCAGTATCAATCGAGATTAAACTCCAGCAAAAACAAAAACAAAAACAAAAAAACAAACCAACCAAACTCACTGCTGTCGAATCGGATTCGACTCATAGCGACCCCCCCTTGGGTTTCTGAGGTGGCATCATTACAGAAGTAGATTGCCCAACCTTCCTTTTGAGGAGTGGCTGGTGGGTTTGAACCGCCAGCCTTCTGGTAGCAGTCAAGTGCCTTAGGCATTATGCTACCAGAGCTCCCAGAGGTGAGAGTATAAATTGGTGTAACAATTGGGAAAACTGTATGGCATTATATGATAAAGTTGTACATATGAGTACCCTCTGAAACCACAGTCATGTACAAGAACGTCCACAGCAACATTATTTGTAATGGTCCCTATGGAAAAAGGCCAGTGTGCAAGGTTGAGTTTTTGGCTCGTGTCCCTACACCTATATAAAACCATTTCTACTCAAAATGATAAAAAAAGACCAAGCTAACAGGGTGGATAGGAGCTCTGGTAGCCTACTGCCTAAGGCACTTGACTGCTAACCAGAAGGCTGGCAGTTCAAACCCACAAGCCACTTCTCGGAAGGAAGGCTGGGGAATCTACTTCCGTAGTGATATTGCCTCGGAAACCCAAGGAGGGGTTGCTATGATTCGGGGCCGACTCGACAGCACATAACAACAACAAACTGGTTGGATGGAACTCTGGTTGCATAGTGGTTAGAGCACTGATCTGCTAACGAAAAGGCTGTCGGTTCAAACCCACCAAAGCTGCTGCTCTGTGGGAGAAAAACTAGACAATCTGCTTTTATAAAGATTTATAGCCTTGGAAACCCAACGGAGCACTTCTACTCTTTCCTAAAGGGTGGGTATGGTCAGAATCAACTCAATGGTAAGGGTTAGGAGTGAAGGAAGAACGGAAACAAGAAAAACAGGAAGAAAGTGGGAGCACTGATGTTACACTGAGGGCATTTCAATCAATGACATGAAATAAAACGTGTGAATTATTGAATGGAAAATGGATTTTTTCTGTAAACTTTCACCCAAATCACAATAAAAAGTTCAGAAAAAGTCCAAAAAACTGTCCCTAAGGGTGGTTCACTATGCCTAGACAGTTTGTGCAAACAGTACAGTTTATGCTGAACCATAGTTTTCCTCCTGGGGAGCTGGAATTTTGGTATGTGCTAGGCCAAGAGAGCCTATTTGACCACCCCCAATAAAAAAGCTTTCAACACTGAGTCTAATTAATGTGCCTCCCTGAGCAGAAACATCACACATACTGCTGTACACTTCACTGGTGGTGAAAAGTGCATGCATCTACTGCATAACCAATGACGAGAGGAAAGAGTAGAATAAAGTGGAACACATGGATTGTTCCAGATGCCGTCTGTATTACTTTCCTTTATAATCTAGCTGTGTGTCCTTACTGTGCCCCTACAGTAAATCTTAGTGATGAGTACAACTGTATTCAAAGTCTTGTGAATCCTAGTAAATCTGTGAACACGGGGATGGTATTGAGGACTCATGAGACAGCCCCCATTTAACAACTTAAATGTCTACCAACAGCAAAAGAAAAAATTGTTGTATAATCCTACAATAAAACACTACACAGAATGATAATGAACAACTTACAAAACAAGGACTGACTCTCATATATGAAGAAACAGTAATTTATTGTCATTTGCCTTGCATACAAGTTGTTTCTCCATATTAGACTAAAAAATCTCTTAGGGCAGCAGTTCTTAAACTTTCTGGTGTCAAAATAGTTTATATGGGTTATATCTATCTGTGGTAGTTCAGTTTGTGTGTCAACTTGGCCGGGCCTGGTTAAATGGTTGGGCAGCTGGATGCAGTATTCCCCATGATAAGACTGGTAATCAGCTCCATGGTGGAATCTACTGTGAGTAGCTGAGTAGCTGCCTTAGGGATGTGGTCTGTTTCCTGTATATAAGGAGAAGCCTTGGGGAACCGTCTCTAGCTTATGGCACACTTGAACCCTGCATGTAGCTATGTCATTGTTCAGCAGCCTGCTATGCTCTGCCGACCTTGGGACTTTCAACAGACTTGAATTAATGGCCTGCCATGTCGTTTGGTAACATTGAGACTGTGTCTTTTTACTTGTCAACCTTGGGTTTGTCAGACTCAGCAGCCAGAAGCTGAGTGAAGAAAAGCCTCCAGCTTCAGAGGGCTGGGAGCAGGAGGCAGAGCTACAACCCAAAATTGAGGGGCTTTCACCCAGCCCCTAGAGCCTGGCACTTTGAATTTGGACTTAAAGCCTCCAAATTGTAAGAATAAACTGTTTGTTAAAGCTATCCCATGTGTTTCAGAGCAGCACTAGGTAACCAGAATACTATCAATATTCACTAAGTGACAAATTGAAAGTGAAAGCTTTTAAAAAATATTAATCCATTTCAAAATAACCCACTACATATTAACATTAGTGATATGTGCTATGAAAAATAACTATCTTCTAAAAGGAAAAAATGCAGTAAGAAGAATGGTACTGTTGTGGAATTTTGTAAATCTCCCCAAACACCTAGCTTAACAGATGACAACTGGATTCCCAAATTAGTTTCTGCATTTCATCTGCTGCAATATCAATATGTCATGTAGCCTGTGGAAGATTCTTCTATATAAATTCATGCAAGAGCTGCACTACGAAAGGGGAAAGGTAGGCAAATCACTAACTACATGACTAGGATCAGCATGAATCCAATTCCTACATGAAAACAGATCTAGGCCTCACCTTCCCACATCTCCATACCTTGTTGCCAGCCACTTCTGTGGCAAAAACTCCCAGACTCTAACCACTCATGTGTTAGATGAGATCCCATCCCACTAAAACGAGCCACCTCAAAACATCTCTGGCTACCTGAGGCCAGGTCATCAGCAAGTAGCTGGAGGCTTGAAAGACTGCCCAACTCCATATGCTTCAGACCAGCTGGCTCTCTGTTGCGCTCTGTCTCTAGTCCCCTGGGACTCAGTTATAAGTTAGGTCAACTGCCAGTGCAGCCCTTTTCTATCACCAAACCACAAAGAGCTGGCTGTCCACAGTCAACTCTGTAGAGCCAGGCCCTACTGGCTCATTGACCCCAAGGGTAAATGAAATCTACATAGGGGCTCACAAAATTCATGGAGACAATTACCTATCCTTACAGTTACCCATTTATTATATAACCAGAAATAACACAATCCAAGAGACACATCAAGCAAGATCTGGAAGAGGTCCCAGCATGAATATTCCATTGTTCCCTATCCTCCACCTCTTGTTGGAAGCCTCCAAAAGAGTTCCAGTGTCCAGAGTCTCCTAGTCATGGGAACTTAAATGATTATGCATGACTGGGGCCTTAATGAATAGTTATGATCAATCCAATCAATGAATATACATGACTATATCATGACCATCCCCCCCACCCTTCCTCTTAAGTTAGTGAGGTGTGGGCCTGTTTAACCGTTACTTGTTTGGCTATTTTAGAAAGATAAAGAACACTAATTGCTTGGACTATTTTCAGAAACCAGATATAAAAGGCTAAACTTAGTCCTTTGTCCCACAGCTCAACAGAGAATAGGAGTGAAAAGACAATTTAACACCTAAATATGATGATGAAAATAAGACTCTTGAAAAAACCGACAAGCCTCTGCATGACACTTGCGGAATTGCTAGTTTAAGGTTTGGTACTATGATATATCTTTTAATTACTCATAGAAGCTAACATGAAGGAGTACAGAGTGGTTTTACTAGAGGGCAGACAGAATTCCACTTATAAACACTGAAAACTGGCAGTACTTCACTTTATAAAATGCTAAGTGTGAAATCCACCCAGCTGTCAATGTCAGAAAATCACCCCCTATACCACAGGTTCAACACACAGTGAAAATTTTATGTAGGAAGAGCTGAGAAGAGTGATCCCTTTAGACACTACATCTATTCCTCACTATCTCATTATATGACAGTTCACAATTACAACTATAGTAAAAATCTATTATCTGACTATTTTGCACTAAATAAAGCATGGCTGTCAGTAAACAACGCAGAGATGTGAAGTAAGGGAACAGTGGATATGATGGGTTAGGTTATGTTGTCACCTTGGCTGGGCTATGATTCTCAGTGGTTTGGCAATTATGTAATGATGTAGTCCTCTTCCATTTTGAGATCTGATGTGGTCATTCTCCATTTTTGCATAACACTGATTTAGATGTAATGACCTGGCATATGGAACTCCATCATGTCGATAAGGGAAGAGTGGCTATATTTATTTACACCATGAACATTATAATTTTATAAATTATTATTGTGAAAATTAAACTTACTACATCTCTTTCCTCTTTCATTTGGAAACAGTGCACCAGGCACTGAATGTATTTAAAAAAAAAAAAAAAAAAACTTGGATTAGGTGAGCTAAAAAGTGGGTCTGTTGGAAACTCAATTTTAAGACAAATTCAAAGCTGCTTATCAGAATTAAATCAATACCATAAGAAAGAGTAAACACTGAAGATTTTATATATTCGTTTGATAGACATTGTTACCATGAAATCCACAATCCAACAGTTCTGAACAGTAACTAGTGTATAGAATGTGACACATTACTGTAGGTTTGGGAATGAAAGAAATATCAACAATTTCTTTGCCAGCACTGGTTCTGAGCCACATATTTGGGCAGCTGTTGAGGACCGTGTTGCTGTACTTACCACCAGTGCTAGAACAAGAGTCCGCACCTTCTCCCCAATCTCAGGTGAGATGTCATTGCCAAACTGCTGGAGTGTGGTGAGAAAGCGCTTCAACTTGCTGAGCTGCCGAGCGCCACAAGTGGCTGGCAACTGCTGATTTGTTAGTGCAGATGACGTGGAAGAGGCAGGACCATTGCTGAACCTTTGTGGTGGAGATGGGGCACCATTTAGGGTAGGAGGAGAATGGTTGATTCCATTGCTTACTAAAAGAAAGCCAAAACAAAAGACTCAGTTTAAGTGTAAAACACAAGGATCTTTGTATATTTCTTGTTTGCTTTCTTGCTTATGCCTTCAAATTTTGTAATGTACATGTTAAAAGATTAAACAATAAATTTTCAAAATATAAAAATCATTTGAAATATTTGAATAAATGAATGAAAATATTAAACAAAACTTGGTTTCTGACCCCAAGAAGACTGCTACAGAGTGAGGCAGAGTCAGGTAAAAAATGACAACAGAATAACATACAGATTTTATTACACAAGTGTGCACAGAGTGTTACCAGAGCACAGAGAAGGGCATCTAACTCTACAGATGTCATGGGCAGCAGTTTTAAAGTTTTAAAGACTTCCTTCAACAGGTACTACTTGAGATGAGTCTGAGTGATGACATCTTTTCAATATTAATGGCCATTTTTTCCAATGTCTAAGTAATAATTTAATTAAATTACCAAATAACTGGAAATCATTAGTATTAAAATACTTTTTAAATCTCTTCAAATTATACAAATGTTCATCCCTGAATATATATACACATATAATTTTAATCTTAATGTGATAAATATTTCTAACAATAAGGTTGCCATTTTAACCACTGCTAAGTATACAGCTCATTTACACCCATTACCTTCATATGCTCACCACTACCACCATCATTCATTCCCAAAAGTTTCCATCACTGCAAAAAGGAACTTCATGTTCTTTCACCAGAACCTCCCAATTCCCCTCCCACCTTCCCATTAATAAATCATCACTAAACTTCCGTCTCTATATATTTGTCCATTCTAGACATTCATGTAAGTGGGATCATACAATGTTTGTCCTTCTGTGTCTACCTTTATTTCCATCATGTTCATTTTTTACATCACATCTCCTTCCCAGTGTTAAGTTCTCAAGAAGGTAGCATGTGAACAGAAAATTAGAAAACAGAGACTTGTCCTAATTTGAGGAATATTTTTCCCTAGACTATAGGTTTAATGACCTATTCCTGGATAATATATACCTCTTTAAAAAAAAATTGTGGTAAAAGCAATGAAACAAAATTTTATAATTTGTACCATTTTGAAATGTATAACTCATTGACAATAATTATCCTCAACATGCTGTGCAAACCATCACCACTATCTACTTGTCAAAGTTTTTCATCATCCCAAACAGAAACTCAGTAGTCTTACCAACAACTCCTCTTTTTCCCTTCGTCCTGGGCCCAATGGCACAATTATCTCTTTGACCATTTTCAGAATACTCATGTCCATCAGAATCAGTTACTTCTTGTTTTGACAGTGCTAGGCTAATATTGTCAAAATCTTATTCACTAAATAAAGCATCTTCTAGACTCCATATAAGTTCTGGTAGCACAGTGAGTAAACGATTTGGCTGCTAACCAGAAGGTTAGTGGTTCAAAACCACCAGTTGCTCCATGGGAGAAAGAGGAGGCAATGTACTTCCATAAAGATTTACAGCCTTGGAAACCAAAATGAGGTTGCCGTGAGTTAGGGTTTTCCTCTTTTTTATTGACCCTCTATGTTACCAATCATGATGTTCTTTTCCAGGGACTAATCCTTCCTGATAACATATACAAAGTTTGTGAGACAGAGCCTCACCATCCTCAATACCAAGGAGCATTCTGGCTATATTTCATCTAAGACAGATTTATTCATTCTTTGGAAGTCCATGGGATATTCAAACCTCTTCAACAACACTTAATTCAAATATACCAATCCTTCACTCTTCCTTATTCATCATCTAGTTTTCACATGCATAGAAAATAACTAGAAATAATGTTACTTGAGTCTAGGACATCTCAGTCCTCAATGTGGTATGTTTGCTCTTTAACACTTTAAAAAGATCTTTTGCATAAGATTTTCCCAATGCAAGACACTGTGTGATTTCATGAGCATTGATTGTTGATCCAAATAAAATAAAATCCTTGACAACTTCAATCATTTCTCAGTTCATCATGATGTTACTTATAGGTTCAGTTGTGAAGATTTTTGTTTTCTTTATGTTCAGGTGTAATGCATAGTGAAAGCTATAGTCTTTGGTCTTCCTAAGTAAGTGCTTCAAGTCTTCTTTGTTTTTACCATACAAGGCTGTGTTAACTGCATATTGCAGGTTGTTAATGAGTCTTTTCCCAATCCTGAAGCTATATTCTTCTTCATATAGTTCAGCTTTTTGGATTATTTGCTCAGCACACAGACTGTCTATTGTTTGGCTGGAAGCCACAGAACTAAGTTCAATTCCAGACCTGAAGGGTAACTAGGGGCCATAGTCTCAGGGGTCTCACCAGGCTCTATCAGATCAGCAAACCTGGTCTTTTTTTTTTTTTTTTTTTTAAATGATTTTGAATTTTGTTCCACATTGTTCTCCCACTCTATCCAGGATCTCCTACACTGAACCTCCTCCGAGTGGCTGACAGTGGCAACCAACGATGCATCATCAAGTTCTTCTGGTCTTGTAGTCATACAGGCTGAGGATCACATGGTCTGCTAGTCCCTTGGACTAATTATTTCCATGTGTCTTTTGTTTTCTTCATTATTCTTTGCTCTGGATAAGGAGAGACCCATCATTACATTTAGATGGCCACTTGGTCTTGGAACATTCTATCAAGTGATCTCTGGTATTGTTGCTATCACCAAAACCATATTTTCTAACTATCGACCCTTCTGCATTTCCAACTTCTGCATTCCAATCATCAATAATTATCAATGCATTTTGACTGTATGTTTGATCCATTTCTGACCACAGAAGTTGGTGAAAGTCTTTAATTTCTTCATCTTCGGCACTAGTGGTTAGTGCATAAATTTGAATAACAATTATATTAACTGGTCTTTGAAGGAGTATGGATATTATCCTATCACTGTCAGTGTTATTACTTCAGGATAGATCTTGAAATGTTTTTTGGCAATGAATGTGACACCATTCCTCTTCTATTTGTCATTCTCAGTAGAATAGATCATGTGATCATCCGACTGGAAATGGCAAATACAAGTCCACTTCAGCTCACTAAAGCTTAGGATATCAATCTTTATACATTCCATTTCATTTTTGATGATTTTCAATTTCCTAGATTCATGTTCTGTACTTTACACATTCCTATTATAAAGGATCTTTCCAGCTGCTACTTCTCATTCGGAATCATGCACATCAGCATAAAAAGGTCTTGAATGCTTTACTCCAATCCATGTCATGAAAACCGTCTCTACTTTGAAGAGGGAGCTCTTTCCTAGTTGTATTCTGAGTGCCTTCCAACCTGAGGGGCTCATCTTCTGGCACTATACAGACTACATTCCACTATTCACAAGGTTTTACTGACCCTCTATGTCACTAGCCAATTTTTTTTATCAGTAAATCGCCAGGCCCTCCTTCCTAGTCCGTTTTAGTATAGAAACACTGCTGAAACCATGGGTGACACTGCTGTTCTTTGAAACACCAGTGATGTGATAATCTGACAGACGAGTGGTGGCAAATTACATGTAATTGATTATACTCTTCTTATATTCCCAGTAATAAATGTTTCTTGGTAGTTCTAATTTGAAATACAACCATAGAGCTTAGTTCTTTATGGCAGAAAATAATAACCTCCTTCTTCATTTAACATTAAAATTACCTCACCTGTAAGTGTCAAAAGATTTTCACTTAAACGTAACACATCTTGGAACTCTAAAAAGGTGAAACTATCTAAAAACATAAGAAACAATTTAAGACTTACATAAGCAAAGTTAAAAGGGCTCACTCATTCAATTTTTAATTAGCTTAGAAAACTGCCATTTACTTGTATTTTTCCTGATGCAAATTTACTGACCATTAAAAATCTTCCAATTCCTTTCTATTTTCTGTAAGCCAGTCATGGTCAGTTGACCATCACTGTTCCCTCTTCTTTGACTGATGTCTGTTCAAATTTGACCTTGCAAACTCTTCTTCGCCCTATACAGTTCAGGTATTACCTGTATTAGGGTAAACCCTAGTAGCTTTAATAACTCTTCTCAGTGCTGGCTATGTATACTAAAAATGCTTCCACTATCTTCATTTATTTCTTTCTATATTTGCACTGCCTTAATAAAACAGACCATGCACTACTTGGTAAACACTATCTTACATATCTACTTCGACTTTGTTCATTACCTAGCGAAGAGTAAGTGTTAAAAAAAAATGTTGTTGAATGATTCACTGTAGAAAAGAATAATAGGCTAGGGAAAAAGATTGAATTCTCTTCTGCGTCTTCCACTAAGAGATCACTAAAGCTACTGGAAAGGAAAGCTCAACACTCCATCTCAGCAATCTAGAAAATTAGTTGCAATGGTCTGCCATTTCTTTATTTTCACAAAGAAGGTCAACTGTCATTGAAAGCTGCTCTTTTAAAGCAACCCATAAAAATAATATATTGCTGTATTTTAGCCACGCTGATGCTCAGATGGGATTTTCACAGCTTCTTTAGTAAAAGCACTGGACCATATATTCTGAAGTAAAAGATATCTACCCAAAGTGGCCGACTACAGACGTAAAAAGGTAAAGATTTAGATATGTATAACCTATTATATGTACCCTGAAATCTGAATGATATAGCCTGGGTTAGATTAAATCTCTTTTATTTCAAGATAGTACCAATCCCTAAGACTGTTTAATATTGAGATAGAAAATTTGCCTTTTAAAATGATAAACTTTTAAGCAAGGATAGTATGGTAGAGAGCAAAGTGCACACAATATGAAGACGTACAGACCTAGATCTAACTCCCTGCCAGCAATGCTTTCACCAGGAAAGCAAAGATACCGACATGTACATTATAAAAGTTTGTATGGTGGAGTGTAAATAAGAAAATGTATATAGCACTTAGTGCCCTGACTACTGTGTGAACACTCCACAAACAGCAAGGGTCTTTTCTGCTTTATGAATAAAGTACCTATAAGACAGCCAAGTGAATGGGGAGAAAGGTGGAGAGTGTCAGGAAGGAAGGAATGGAAAGACAGAAAAATTCAAATTAAAAAAATATATATTAACTCAAATAGCAACTAATCACAACACACAACAGACACACACATACCCATATATGTGTGTGTGTATGTGTGTGTATATATTTCTTTAAATTATATACATAGGATTGATATTCCTGAGTTATAGATAGGTGCATGTTCAGCTTTAGTACAGAAAATGAGTTTTCCAAAGTGGTTGTACCAAATTATCACCAAATTATTTAATGGCTAATTTAATATTCTCATCTATAAGAGTCTTAGGAGCTCTGGTGGTACAGTGCTTAAGGCATTTGACTGCTAACCAGAAGGCAGGTGGTTCAAATTCACCAGCCAACCCGCGAAAGGAAGATGAGGTAATCTACTTCCGTAAAGATATATCACCTTGGAAATCCAATGGGGGTTGCTTTGAGTCAGAATCCACTCAACTGAAGTGGGTATAGAGTCTTACCGTGTATATATATATTCTAAAGAAGTAAGAGGCAGGATATGAATAGATATACGCACATGTTCATGTTCATATCGCAGCACTATTCATAGCAAGAGATGGAAAGAACCTAAGTGCATATCAACAGAGGAATGGATAAACAAACTGTGATATATACATACAATAGAATACTATGCAACCCTAAAGAATAATGTAGAATCTGCAAAACACCACATAATGTGGATGAACTTGGAAGACATTATGTTGAGTGGAGTAAGTCAATCACAGAAGGACAAATCCTGTATTAATCCATTATTGGAAAAAGTCAAGGAAGGTTTACACATAGAAGGAAATGTTCTTTGTTAGTTACCAGGGATGGAAGGGAAAATTTTTAGATAGGTTAGAAAAAAGAGAAATATATATATATAAACCAAAGATTAGTGGTTATCAGGAGTAGAAGGGAAGGGGAAAGGAGAAGCTTTTGTTTGGGTAGCATTGAGTTTATGCTAACAGGTGGTAGAATATTTTGGAAAAGGACAGTAATAATTGTGGGACAACAAGAAAAATGTAAATGTCTCTGAGCTGTAAATGTGGTAAGCTGGCAAATGTCTTATGTACGTTTTACCACAATAAAAGTTAAAAAAAAAAAGAAGTCTTACCATTAAAGCGCTATTACATTTTCAATAGTGCTGTAATTTTATGAAAAATACTTTGAATCTTACAAATCAATATTATCTAAATTTATTATTTTAGAGCCAAAGAAATGAAAATTGCTACTTAACAGACTAAGAGTATGAAAACAGAATATTTACAACACTAAATTTCCAAGCCCCTAAATTAGCTAAGTATTATTATATCCCCACAGAGAAAAAGCACTTTATAAAAGAAACAACCAGGTGTATATGTATGTATGTATATGTGTGTATGTATGTATGTATGTATATGTGTGTATGTATGTATGTATGTATATGTATGTGTATATGTGTGTGTGTATACATCCATATATATAGATATATATATAAATAAAATAGAATTTTGAAAATGTTAAATAACATGTGTAAGACTCAATACTGGCCAGTCACTCAGATCCTAATGTCACTCAGAACCACAAACACAAGTAATGAAGGGGTCTCACATGCTGTTGGAGTAAATGACACTGGTCTCGGTCCTCCGGGATTTATTGGTGGGAGGGGTGGCATAGTGGGAGGTGAGGATCTTGACTGTATTTTCACTTCCACAGGCGATCCAGGCATTGCTGGCACCCTTTTCTCAGGAGCAACTGTAGAGAATAAAAAACAGAAGACAGAATTTTCTGTAATAAAAACAGTGACAAATTATGGGACACTTAAATATTTTTCTGACAGGACCAAGAAGTTAAGAAGATGGTTAGTGTAGTGCACCACATGGTGGCCCCCAAAGACACATACGCAAATCCTAATCCCCGGGACCTGTCAGTGTGATAGGAAAAAAGGGTCTTATTTGGAAAAAAGGGTCTGTAGATGTAACTAAGAAATCATCCTGGATTATCTGGGTGGGCCCTAAATCTAATGACAAGTATCCTTATTGGAGAGAGGCAAAGACAGGGGAAAAGACACAGACATACAGACGCAAACACAGACAAGGTGACTGGAACACGGAACAGAGAGAAATGCAGCCACAAGCCAAGGAATGCCAATAACTACCAGAAGCTGCTGTTGTCAGCTACCTAGTCCATTCCAACTTTGGCTAGAAAAGGCAAAGTGAAAAGAGAAAAGTGGCCTTGCAGAACTGTAAGGTAATAAATCTGTTTTTTTAAGCCATCTGTCTGTGGTAATTTGTTGTTATCAGCCACAGGAAAATTATATACCATATCTTTGTCTCTTTCTCCCCCTCAACTAACTTTATGGTATAATTTACATACAATAAAATTCACCCATCTTGAGTGCACACTTCAATGAGTTTTGACAAATACACAGTCATGTAACTACCACCACAATCAGGACACAGACCATTTTTATCACCCCAAAAGTTTCCTGGTGACTTTTTTTTTTTTTTTTAATTTTTTCTCTTTTCACTGTGCCTTTTCTAGCCAAAGTGGTGAAATACATTATAAAACAATGGCCGTTCAACCATGTTCACATGTATAATGTGGTAACATTACTTATGTTCCCCATGTTGCACAACCATTACCACTGTTTACAATTTTTTTTTTCTAATCCCCTGTAACAGAAAAGAAACTTAGTAATCCATAAGCAATATTTCCTCGTTTCTGCCTCTACTAGCCCCTGGTAACCACTAATAAACTGTAATCTCTATGCATTTGCTTATTCTGGGTATTTCATGTAAGTGGGATCATACAGTGTTTGTCCTTTTGTGACTGACTTATTTCACTTAGCTTAATGTTTTCAAGGTTCACCCATGTTGTAGCAGGTAGTAGGACTTCATCTCTCTACATAGTTGGGTAATATTCCACTTTATGTTTGCACATTTTGTTTATCCATGCAGCTCTGGGTGTATATTTAGGGTGTTTCAACCCTGGGGCCATTGTGAATAGTGCTGCAATAAAGTGGTTCTGATTTGCATGTCCTCAAATCAAATGAAAGAAGGCTGGGCAATCTATTTCCATAGTGATACCTCCGGGACACCCAAGGAGGGGTCCCTATGAGTCCCTGTGACTCTACGGGACAACAACAAATGACTAATGAGGGAGCTCTGGTGGCACAGTGCCTAAGGCATCTGACTGCAAACCAGAAGGCTGGTGGTTCAAACCCAAGAGCCACTCCTCAGAAAAAGGCTGAGGCAATCTACTTCCATAGTGAGTAAACCCAAGGAGGGGTCGCTGTGACTTAGATCTGACTTGACAGCAATGAGTTTGGTTTTGTTTAGGAATGACAAATGACACTGGACTTACTAGCCATTTGTCTATCTTTTTTGGTGAACTGTCTATCCAAGTCCTTTAGCCTTTTTTTTTTTTTTTTAATTGTGATTTGGGTGAAAATTTACAAAGCAAATACACTTTCCATACAGCAGATCACATACATTTTGTCTCATGACAATGACCACAATTTAGCACAATGCAACACCTCCTCTCCCACTTCCTCTCGATAGCTGCCTCTTCCCTGTGTCCAACCCTCCATGCACTCCTACCCCCTGAGCTGTCTCCCTGTGCCTGAGCAGCCCTTCTTTCTCTCTTGCTTGTTCTCTCCAAGGAGTGTACCTACCTCAGGTAAATGCTCAACTACCATGCCTGTCTATTGCTTGGCTGGAAGCCACAGATGTGCGTTGAATTCCAGACCTGAAGGGCAGCTAGGGGCCATAGTCTCAGTGGTTCCACCATCTTTGCCCAATTTTTAATTGGATTGTTTGTCTTACTTTGTTGTATTGTATAAGCGCTTTATAAATTCTGGATAGTAAACTCTTATCAGATATGTAGTTATGAAATAAATACTTTCTCCCAATCTACAGGTTGTATCTTCACTTTGCTCATAATATTCTTTGAAGAAATCCAATGAATTTATTTTGTCTCTTGTTGCTGGTGCTTTTGGTGTCATATCTAGGAATCCACTGTTGAAAACTAAGTCCCAAAGCATTACTCCTATATTTTGTTCTAAAAGTTTAATGGTTTTAGTTCTTACATTTAGGTCATTGAAACATTTTTATCTGATTTTCATATATAGTGTGAAACATGTAATTTTTCTCTTTTTAAATATTTACTTTTACATTATAAAAGTCAGATGCTCACTAAAAAAAAAAAAATCATGATTTGAAACTTTTTAAAGTAGAAAAGTGAAAGTGAATCCCCCTCAACTTCTTCCTTAATTCCATTTTATCTACGTTACTCCTGTAAATAATTTGTTATATATAGACTTCTACATTAACCAAATCAAACCCAATACTGTCAAGTCAATTCTGACTCATAGTGACCCTACTGGACAAAATTAAAACTGCCCCAAAGGATTTCCAAGGCTGTAATCTTTATGGAAACAGATTGCATTATCTTTGTCCCATGCAGCAGCTGGTGGGTTTGAAGCACCGATCTCCGGGTTAGCAGCTGGATGCTTTAACCACTGCCCCACTCGGGTTCCTTGTACTTCTATGTAAGTACTCTAAATTTACTTTTGTGAAAAGGTACACAGTGACACATCTCCCTACTCCTATCCCCAGGCCTTCCAATTCTCCTCTCCACAGTCCTCCAGTGTTACTAATGACTGCATTTTGCAGAGGTTAATTATGTACAAATATACAAACATGTGTAAACTTTTTCTTTTTTATACATGATAGTATACTATACACATTGTCATACACTTTGTTGAAAAAGCTTTGCACTTCTCACTCTGCTTTATCATTCTCAAAAACTGCTTGCAATAGGCAAGAACATTTAGCCTCCCTGTTTCACAAACAAAGGATCCCTGGTGGCTCAGTACTTAAAGCGCATGGCTGCTAACTGAGAGGTTGGCAGTCTGAATCTACCAGCAAGATGAGGCAGTCTGCTTCTGTAAAGACTGCAGTATGCTTCTGCGAATATTACAGCCTTGGAAATCCCATGGGGCAGTTCAGCTCTGTCCTAGAGAGTAGTTATGAGTAGGACTGGACTTGATGGCAGTGGGTTTGGTCTGTTACTTACATGCTTATTGTGATTTGGGTGAAACTTTATAGAGCAAATTCATTTTGTATACAGCAGTTCACATACACTGTCTCATGACATTGACTGCAGTTTCCCACAATGCAATAACTCTCTCCCCACTTCTTCCCCATAGTTACCTCTTCCAGGTGTCCTTCCTTCCATGCACTCTTGCCCCCTGAGCTGCCTCCCTGTGCATACACAGCCCTTCTATTCTCCCATGACTGGTCTCTCCAAGGAGTGTACCTCCCTAATGTAAATGTTCACCTCATATGCCTGTCTTTTGTTTGGCTGGAAGCCACAGGAGTGGGTTCAATTCCAGACCTGAAAGGCAGGTAGGGGCCATACTCTCAGGGGTTCCATTGGGCTCTATCAGATCAGCAAACTTTTTTTTTTTTTTTAAATGATTTTGAGTTTTGTTCCACATTGTTCTCCCACCAAATCCAGGATCTCCTACATAGACCCCCCTCCAAGTGGTTGACAGTGGTAGCCGGGCCCCATCTAGTTCTTCTGGTCTCATAGTCATATAGGCTAAGGATCATTTGGTGTATAAGTCCCTTGGACTAACTGTTTCCATGTGTCTATGGTTTTCTTCTTTCTTCTCTGCTCGGGACAAGAGACCTATTGCTGCACCTAGATGGCTGCTCGCAAGCTATTAAGATCTCAGTCACTACTTGCCAAAGTAGGATGTGGAACAATGTTTTTCTGTAGATTGTTATGCCAATTGAGCTTGATGTCCCCTGCGACCACGGTCCCGAGCTCACAGGTCCAACTAATCACTCCCTCTGGGTAGCTGGCTGTGTGTCAGCTCTACTATATATCTGGGAATTCTTACAGAACATACAAATGTATCTGTAGAAACATGGTCATGGGCATACACACCTGCACAGACATAACTAATCAGTTGGCCTGTCTATTCATCTATCCACCTATAGATCAATGTTTGCCTTTACTGACAATGCAGTACTATATGTATAAAAGGGCTATCTGTACCTTCCATACACCTCTCTCTGTTTTCCTCTTCCTCAATGTCTCCGTGATGATCACTCACATTTGGTACATTTCCCTCCCTTCACTCAAATCAATACTTGTAGCTACCTATCTAGCAGTGTTCCTTCCTCTTCCCCTCACCCCTGGAAACCAACAAAGAAAGTTTCCTGCCTTCCATATATAAACCTTTCCTTGACTTTTTATGATATCCGACTAATACAATATTTGTCCTCCTGTGATTGACTTATTTCACTCAGCATAATGTCCTCCAAGTTTATCCACGTTATGCGGTGTTTTGCAAATTCTAGGTTAGTCTTTAGGGTTGCATAGGATTCCACTGTGTGCACGTACATAGTTTGCTTATCCATTCTTCTGTTGAAGGGCACCTAGGTTGTTTCCATCTTTTTGCTATTGTAAATAGTGCTGCGATGAACATTGAGTGTGTAGGTATCTGTTCTTGTTCGGGTTCTCACTTCTTTAGGATATATACCTAGTAATGGAATTGCTGGGTCAAATGGTATTTCTAATTCCAACTATTTAAGGAATCGCCATACTGCTTTCCACAGTGTTTGTATCATTTTACAGTTTCAGCAGCAGTGTGTGAGAGTCTCAATCTCTCCACATCCTTGCCAGCATTTGTTACATAATCACCTTTAAACCGAGCTGTGCTCCTCTAATTAATTTTCAG